AGGGAACCTCAGGATGAACTTGCTGATCCCAAATGTCCATAAAGAACTCGCTGATCCCAAATGTCGAGAAAGGAAAGGGTTGAACGGGGAAACCCAAAGGCGAGTGGAGTTAAACCCTTCAAAACCCCCAGACAGGATGTGGGGCCTGTTGGAAAGGAGATGCTCGACTCAGCCAACACAAGGAGCAGCAATTCAGTTTCTGAATTATTGTGGTAACGTTGTGAGCAACGGCAGCGCTGGGCACGGCGCTGCGGGTTTCCCCTCCAACTGCCACGGGCTGCTGGGCTGGCTGCTATTTACTGCTCATGTCCAGCAGCTTTTCTCAGCACTTTCTATTTCCCATTTGTACGCACTCTTTCAGCAGTTTCTGTTTCTACCTTTTGACGTCACAATTCTATACGTTAGGATCGAAAATCTATGATGGTGGTGTCTGATTCCTTTCCAGTTTCTACACTCTGTTGTGATCTAGGCCAGGTTTCAATATCCCAGGATGCACATCCTGGGATGTGTGTCCAGCTTCTGTTTTCTGTGACCATTAATCCAAATAGTCATGTCCAGCTTCCCGTTTCAAAATCATTAATCAGCAACCTTGATGTCCATCTTCCTTCTCCTGGAGCTTGGGGTAGGTTCACTTCCCTCTTCTGTTTAAATCCTTTACACATTCTGAAGCTGCAGTTAAAAATCCGTAATACAAAGCGACATTCTAAAGTTATTATTCAAAGGTTCTTATAGCAAAACAGCTTAAGACTTAATTACAAGCAAAAAGTTCTCATTAAAAGGCAACATTCTGAAGTTATAATTCAAATATTGTTATTGCAAAACAGCTTAAGGCTTATAATTGTTATTTGCAAACAAAAAATTGGTTCAAAAGCCTTCTTCTTCCATGCTTTCCTTGGTTGTTTATTAGAACTCATCTGTTGTTATTGGACATGAAATGAGTGCACAGAAGCTTGGGAAGTTGAAAAGAGGAAAAGAGCCAGTTTTATTCAAACATCTGGGATTTATAGAATTCCAAAGGTGGATTGGAGGATGGAATTAGCACCTCTCCAACCACGCTGCTCCAAAGATCGATCAATCATTTCTCTCCACCCACAGAGAAATCTGTAAACAATTCTATTTATGCATGAAATTGTGTGGGAACTCTGACTCTCAAATATGCAAATATTATCAGATGGCTACAGAAGATTTATGAGAACTTTAACACTTTCAGAAGAACTATAAAAGAAAACGGAACTTTTAAAAATCAGGGCAGCACTCATCTTTGTCCCTGTCCCAGGGCCGTGTTCCACACATCTCACATCTCACAGTCACAATGACTCGGGTGCCTTTATTTACCTGACACCAAACACAGCTTTGGATGTCACCAGGCCCGGGCAGCCCGAGGGATCTGCTCCCCCTGGCTCTCCAGCTCGGCCCTTAATGAGCCCCTAATTGCCATAAATCAATTAGCTGGCTGGTGGATCAATTATGGGATTTGGGGAGAGAATCCAGCAGCAGGGACAGAAGAGGCTGCAGCCCAGATGGATGATGGATGGATGATGGATGATGGATGGATGGATGGATG